TATATATATATATATATATATCTGATTATCTCTCATGCGCATAAGAATTCGAGTACCACAACTTATACTTGAGGGGAATCGAATCCTAGACTATAGGGGACTTGCATTAAGCACAACTATGTTGCCGTGATCGCTGGTCATAGAGGAAGAGAGAGTGCTTTCCGCATACTCTGCATATCTGCACGACGGACATATTAATCAAGTGATTAGTTATATAAAAATTAATATAGTTTGGAAGTCTAGTTATTTGATGATTAATTATTTTAAGGAAAATTGTATTCATTATTAGTTGTGATTGGTATAATTTTATATCATTTTTAGAGAAGTCTCAAAATGATATATTTGGTTTAGAGAAATTTAACTTAAATTTTGATAAGAATCCTTATTCAGCGTATACTTGACAAGATTATCTCCTCTGACTAAATAGATTACTGAATTATACTTGATTCATGAACTATCCTTGACAAGATTACTACCTCCTTTGACTAAATAGATCTGAGAACACGACGACCCGAGATAACTGAACCATGACAACTTTATCCGATTTCGTCTTCATTCCCCAGTCATCTGCTTTAAGCTTCAAGTGATGAATTTATACAACTTAAATCTTAACTTTGGTGTCATTATATGTTGAATACTCAATTCTTAGTGATTAGCCTTAAATGAAAGTGCTCTTCTCTTATCGGGAGGGATAACCAACCATAGGGACTTGCGTCAATGGGAAACCTCGAACCTCTGATCAAAAAGTCTTCTCAATATGAGGGCAAAATCTCTTGGTAGTGTTTTATCTATAATTTAATTAGCCTTCTGAAATTTCGACCCTTCTAAAGAGGCGATCATTCAAATTTCTAGAGCTCAAGATCACATCATAATTTTGTAAGAGGATGAGGGAATTATTAAAGTTACCTTAGAGTTATTGAAAATATTCATTGTTATACAAATATTAGAACTTGCATTTAATTTTTTTGATACAAATTTATATAATTTATTTGAACTAATCTATCCCCCTTGGTGAGTATAATTTATTTTGTTATATTTTCTCAATTGCTCTCTTCTCTTGTCTTTAGGCATTGATGTATGAACTAATATTACATTGAATAAAACAAAAATTTATCCTTCTATCATAAAAAAATCCAACAAAGAGAACGAATCACCAACCTCCCTTATATTATATCAAAATCTTTTGCGCAAATGAAATTTAGAAGAAAAACCTCTTATTCAAACTATTTCAACATGTACATAGAAATGGCGACAACCAACAATATATTTTAGCCCCTTTCAATATAAAAAAAATACGTGTGTACATGATAGGTGCGGATTAGTGGTTTTTGGCATGATATTGGGGTGATGTTGATCATATTGAGATGATATTGGAATGGTATTGAGGTGCAATATAAATCAATATTGTACGAATACCACCGTTGGCATATAGAATGTCACAAGTAATATTTGCTCCCTTTTAACACCTCTGTTTGAGGAAAAATGACATTTTTACGGACATAGGATAAATGAGAGTTAAAAGCTTGATCTTTGAGGAGTTCAGAGGGGTGACAAAACTCTTATAGTTCATGAATCAAGAAGGAAGTTGCGGTATGAACGAAAGAGGTGAAGCGAGTCTGAGCAGAAAAAAATGACCTTTTGTGGAGGAGCTGAAATTTTATCAGCCAACATGAAATAATTTTAAAAAAATGTTAGAAAAATTTAAAGCTATCAGGGGTGTAAATGAGTTGAACTAGCTCGTGTTCGGCTAGTTAAAAAATATTATTATTTTTGTTTGACATATTTATATTTTGAACACAAAAATAATTGTTCGGGTTCGACTAATTTGCTCAATGAGATGAACACGAGATATTTATCAACAAAAAATTATTTAGACGACTCTAATGACGTAGTCTGAGATTTCAAGAGAGTTGGGATGCTACCAACCCCACCATCGTTTCAATATCTTCACATCTGGCACAACGAATGGCCGGATCTCCGCCAAATCGGGGAACACGTAGCAGGAAGGAATGGTTTATGCAGAACATGAGGAGCAGGGGATGAAGAAAAAGCGTGGGAGGGATATTCGAAGTTCCGAACTTTTGATCTCTCTCTCTCTCTCTCTCTCTCTCTCAAGGGAGAGATCTCTCTATCACTAGAGAGAGAGATTTGACCATCTCCTCCCTCAAGACCACTGGCCAATTCAAACCTGTCCTAATTAACTCTTAGCCGTGTCTTCTCCTACCCCGAACCTTTCCTCCTTCGGCCATTTTGACCTTTTCCCATTTATATCCATCCCGTCTCATCTATTGCATCTCTAATCCTTCATCTCCTTCCAACCTCTATATTCTGATTTCCCCTCTTCTTCTTCATCTTCTTCCTCTATCCCCCAAAGCTTTCAACTTTTCTGCTTCCCGCAACCCCTATCTTCTAGCAGATCCAGCGCCATCTCCTTCTATACCATCTGGCGCCGTAGATCGATTATTTTCCGTTATTAGTCTTCTGCTTCCCGAAAAAAAATCATATCTTGGTACCAAATGGGTAACTGCTGCACCTCGCCGGTCGATCCATCGGAGAAGAAGGAGAAGAAGCCCAAGAACACGAAGGGCAAGAAGCCGAACCCCTACGCAGTTGAATACAATCGATCACCGATCCCTGGAGCCCCGAAGCTCGTCGTTCTCAAGGAATCCACCGGCCAGGACATTAGTAGCCGTTATCAGCTCGGCAACGAGCTCGGAAGAGGGGAGTTTGGGATCACCTATCTCTGCATCGATAAGGACACAGGGGAGAAATTTGCCTGCAAGTCTATTTCGAAGAAGAAGCTGAGAACCGCAGTTGATATCGAGGATGTGAGGCGGGAGGTCCAGATCATGAGGCACATGCCTCCTCATCCTAATGTTGTGTGCCTCAAAGATACTTATGAGGACGATAAAGCTGTTCATATTGTCATGGAGCTTTGTGAGGGAGGTGAGCTTTTTGACAGGATTGTCGCCAGGGGACATTATACAGAGAGGGCGGCGGCCGCCGTAACAAAAACCATTGTTGAGGTCGTGCAGGTGAGATTTTTGTTCTTTTATCGCTAATCTTTTGTTGTTATTTGTCTGGTTTTTGGAAAAAAGTTTTCTTTTTTAAGCTCTTAGGGTTCTTCATGGATGTGCTGTTGATGTTTTTGTTTTTATGATGTGTTGGATATGATGTTTTTGTGGGTTTTTTTGGGTGAGTTCCAATGGATTGTTGTACTTGTTGTCTTTGCAGTGATTGATTGTTTTATCATGTGTCTTCCCTATGAGATTTACTTCATTGAAATTTAATTTTATTTGTTGATTGGAAATTGAATGATGCTCTGCAATATGATATTTTCTGTTTAAAGACAGTGCTATTGTTTTCCAAATGCTATTGTATGCTATACTGTTTCTACTATTTTTTGGTGCTGATAATTGTTCAGAATAGATATTATAATTTTTGTAAATGTTGACTTATTACACTCTTGTTCTTCTTGAAGCATTTTGTGAAAAATTTTACTTGGTATAGCTCTTCAATGGCAGAAACTTGTAAATTGAGTTTTATTTGACAAATATATACTTTGCTAAGCTATAGTATATGCTTTATTTCTGGTTTTTTGTTTCAGGTTTGTCACAAGCATGGAGTGATGCATAGGGACCTCAAGCCTGAGAATTTTTTGTTTGCTAACAAAAAGGAAACTGCTGCGCTGAAAGTTATTGATTTTGGGCTTTCTGTGGATTTCAAACCAGGTATTTCTAGGATGCTGTTTAAAATTTTGTTTGAATAGGAGGAAATGTGTCAAAAGTGGTCTTTGATTCTTTGCTGGGGCTCATTTTAATTCCAGAGTCTGTAAAAATATCAATTTAGTCTTCAGATTCTCTTTAGATAGGCTAAAATAGTCTCCACTCTTTAAAATAAGCATTATTTTAGCTTCTGTTGAAAGAGTCTGTCGTTTACTTTAACACTTTTATGAACTCTAGGATTAAAATAGCCCAATATAAATAATCAGGAGATTGTTTTGGCATTTTATTCTGTTGAAATGTTGTTTAAAATTTAGTTTGAACACGAGAAAGTGTCAAAATTTTCTTTTTATTCTTTGCAGGGGTCATTTTAATCCCATAATTTATAAAAGTGTCTATTTAGTCTTCAGGCTCTTTTAAGATAGGATGAATGACTCTTTTAAAGGTGGATATTTTAGCCTTCATTAGAAGAGATTGTGGATTATTTTGACACTTCTATAAAATCTAGAACTAAATTAGCTCCATGTAAAGAAGCAAGGAACCCTTTTGGCATTTTACTCATTTGAAATGTGTTATGTTTACCTTACCATACATCTGAGCTTTTCCTTATGTTAATGCCATGTCATGTGTTTATGGAATGTGGGCTCCGAGCATGGTACTAGAAAGTGAAATTCTTCGGCTTTTGCAAAAGTTTTTACTCATCATGTTTAATGAGCAGGCGAACGCTTTTCGGAGATTGTCGGAAGCCCTTATTACATGGCCCCAGAGGTTCTTAAGCGCAATTATGGCCCCGAAGTCGATGTCTGGAGTGCTGGAGTTATATTATACATCCTGCTTTGTGGTGTGCCACCATTTTGGGCAGGTAATTTTTACCCAAACTTTGTTTCTTTTTACATTTCTACCGCCCAAAGCTTTTATATTACAGAAAAGATACCAGTAGTATGACTTTAGTGAAATACACCTTCTCATGCGTGGGTGAGGTTACATATGTATGTCAAAATTAAAGTTTTGGTGTTAGATATGTAAATACATAGTATGTATGTAAATCTTCCTTTGTTGTTTTTTTTAGAAACTAAATACTGTTCTTATCTTTAAGATCTAATTGTGTGAGCTTAAATACTGTTGAATGCAGAAACTGAGCAGGGAGTTGCTCAAGCAATTATTCGTTCTGTGATTGATTTTAAAAGAGATCCGTGGCCGAAAGTGTCTGATACTGCTAAAGATCTTGTTAAGAAGATGCTCGATCCAGATCCGAAGCGGAGGTTAACAGCTCAAGAAGTGCTCGGTGAGATCTCGAAACATTAACCAAGCTTTCAAACATATACTTATGGTGAAAATCAAACATACATTAACCAAGCTTTCAAACATATACTTATGGTGAAAATCAAACATTCATCTTCAACATCATCACTAACCGTATCCCAACTTCTGTGGTCATATAAATTATGATTTGTCTAATTCTAATTTTTTCGACAACTTATCTCATTCCGACTATCAATTCTCAATTTAAAATTGGGGACTTTGCATGCCATCCAAACTTCAATTTTTACGTACAGACCCCCCAATTCCTATGTTTTCGTCATACGTTGATGGTCTGTACGAAAAAATTAAAATTTGGGTGGTTGATATGTTAATACTTAGGAATTGGATGGTAGGTATCTAAATCTCCCTTTAAAATTTGATATTTTGTAACACACTTATCCCCAATATTATCATTCTTAACATGCTAAATCTGGCATCCATTTCCATGAACATTCTTGAATCTAGCAGTTTTATCTTCATCTACATCTTCATCCTCTTACATATATTGATTTGAGATACTTGTTTATTACAGTTCTAACAATATTCGACTCATAAAAATGCTATAGAAATGCATTATGATATACTAAACTTTCATATTGTTAAATCCAAAATCCATAATCTTTTCATTAATCAAATTCATTATCCTTAATCTTTTAGTCTCTACAGTTAACGTTTCTAATGTAGTATTGTCTATCTCAGACCATCCCTGGTTGCAGAATGCCAAAAAAGCTCCAAATGTGAATTTGGGCGAGTCTGTTCGAGCGAGACTTCAACAATTTTCTGTTATGAACAAGTTCAAAAAGAGAGCCCTCAGGGTAAGTCTGTAAAAAAAAGCTGTTTTCAATTGACAAAAAAATTGTGTTTTTTAAAAGTGTTTCTGGAAAGTCACAATAACTAAAAACAATTCATCAAATAAACAAAGAACTTTTTTCTTCTGAAACGAAAAGCAGCAGAAAGTTTCCTCAAATGAGCTTTCATTCATTAATATTGCGCTTAATTTGCAGGTTGTTGCTGAGCATTTATCTGTTAAGGAAGTTGCAGATATAAAGGAAATGTTTCAGAAGCTCGATGTGGATAACAATGGAAGAATCACTCTTGAAGAGCTCAAGTCTGGACTTCACAGGCTCGGGCATCAGATTCCGGATGCGGATGTTCGGATTTTAATGGATGCAGTGAGTCTCCGTCATTCTGTTTCTTCTTTAGTAAAGTGTCAAAATGGTTCTCAGATTATTTATTCGGGATCATTTCAGTCCCTGAGACTATAACAGTGTCAATTTGGTCCCCACACTCTTTTAGTCTGGGGTGAAGTAGTCCTTAGAGAGGACTATTTTAGCCTCCGTTAAAAGAGTCTTGGAACTAAATTCACACTTTTATAGACTTCGCGATTAAAACGACCCCTGCAAAGAGTCAGGAGGCCATTCTGACAATTTTCTTGTTTCTTTATCATCCATTTCAAGCATGTTTTAATGATTTAGAGTTGAAGGTTCATTTTGTGAAATAGTCCATAAATAGAATTATTTTAGTTTCAATTAAAAGAGTCTGGAGACTAAATTGACACTTTTATAGACTCTGGGATTAAAATGCCATCCTGCAAAGGGATAGGAGACCATTCTAACACTTTTCTCGTTTCTTTATATCCATTTCAAGCTTGTTTTAGGGATTTAGAGTTGAAGGATCATTTTTGTGTGTTTAGGGATGTATATCATCATTTTCTTGGGCGAAAATTAAAATATTGATGTTTCTTATGTCCATTATAAAGTAGGAAGATTTACATACAATTCAATTCCTCTGTATTTACATATCCAATAGCTAAAATTTCAATTTTTACATACATGCCGCCTTAACTTTGCATGAAAAAGTGTATTTCACTTCTTAAAAATTAAAATTTTGATGTTTTTGATGTGATACGAAAGATATGGGTGGGGGTAGAAATTAAAAAAAATAACTTAAATTTCTGATATTGCAAATGCAAATACATATGAATTGGCTGGTTTGCATGTCAATGCTTAATGCCCCCATGAATACTTACCTTCGCCAGCATATAAATTGCGTGACCAAAACATTAATCATTTTCAAATGACAGGCCGACGCCGATGGTGATGGAACTCTCGAATTCGGCGAATTCGTCGCCGTCTCAATCCACATAAAGAAGCTGGGGAACGACGAGCATCTTCACAAAGCCTTCGCATTCTTCGACCAGAACAAGAGCGGATACATCGAGATAGAAGAGCTCAGCCATGCCCTCGAAGACGACTTAGGACCCAACCATGACGAAGTCATCAACGCCATCATCAGAGATGTTGATACTGATAAGGTTTGGTGCTCATCATGTTCTATAATAAAGCCTTCAAACATTGAAATTGTTCGTCGATCATTTCGTCTCATCGTCTTTATATGTTCATCTTTTTGATGACAGGATGGAAGGATTAGTTACGAGGAGTTTGCGGCGATGATGAAGGCGGGGACGGATTGGAGGAAGGCGTCGAGGCAATATTCGCGGGAACGTTTCACGAGTCTGAGTTTGAAGCTGATGAAGGATGGGTCATTGGAGCTGAAGAATGGTGGGAGATGAGGAGGGAAGAGCTGTCTTTTATTCTTTTCTATATGTTGTCTGTTTTCTTCTGAGTTTTAGTTCAGTTGGAAGCACAGCCCAAGAGCTCTTCTGTGTGATGTTGTGGAGTATGAAAATGAGGGGGAAGAAGAGCTGTAAATATGTAATTGCATGATTTTAAGAGGGCGAGGACTGCAAATTTATGCTGTTTTTATTTTCTTTTTTTGTTTGATTTATTGAAATAACTCTTGTAAAAATATTGAAAAAGGATAGATTTTGGGCACATTTACATACATACCATAAAATTATTATATATTTACATATCTAACACTTTCGAACTTTCATATTTGCATGCATGTAACTTGGGCTGTCAAAACGGCTCGTTGTTCGCGAACAACTCGTGTTCGGCTCGTTAAGAAGCCCGTGTTCAGCTCGTTAAATTCGTTCGAAAAGTTAACGAGCCGAACACGAATTAAGATGTGTTTGTTCGTGTTCGGCTCGTTTTGGCTTGAAATACTGCTCATCAAGTTTATATATATATATATTAAGTAGTATTTTAAAAAAAATTAATTGACTACAAGGTTACAAAGATTTATAATCAATTAAAATATTAATTAAGAAAATAGAATTAAATAAAATTATTATTAAAATTATTAAATTAGATTCAAATGATGTTTTAATATAAATAATAATATTTAAATTTTGCTCAAATTCTTATTGTCTTACGGCTACATGCTTAGGACTGTTAAAATGGCTCTTTGTTCGTCAATAGCTCATGTTCGGTTTCATGAAGCAAATGAGTCGAACACAAACACACTTTTTGAGCTCGAAATATAAACGAGCCGAATAGGAGCTGAGCATGGCTCGCTCGTGTTCGGCTCGTTTACGCCCCTACATGTAACACTTACTGAAAGTGGAGCACATCTTTCTATGTATGGGTTTATGATAATGAAGGGTTATAAATTTAAATATCAATTTTTGGGCTCTAGATACGTAAATGCATAAGAATTGTTGGTATGTATGTAATGTGAATTTACGTACAATTTTATATTTCTGGAGCTTGATTTTTTTAGTTTGATTATGATATAACTGTGAGGCTTTAATTAAAATTAAGTAATTAAATTTAAATTAAAATAATAAAAACATTCAGTTTAATTTTAAAA